CACTATAGAAACACACACACACACACACACACACTTCATGCAACAAGCAAGTATGGCGAAATGTGTGTGCCACAAATGGCCCTCTGGACTTCTCGCATTTGCTGCAGAGGTGCACAGCCCACTACATTCCCTTGGAGAGCCCGCTTAGACATTCCCTCAGGTGTCGGTACCTGCAAACCCAAGCAACTCCCTCGTGATTGGTCTGCTTTTATTTTATGAACACTGTAAATCTTGGAATGAACCTTAGTTTGCATTGTTGCTTTGGCTGTAGATTTTTGATCCATCCAGAGCTCTAAGGCAGGTCACTGACATAGCTCCCCTGAAGGCAAGCACACAGGCCTGTTGTAGGGAGTAAAGACGCTGAAGTCTAAATGCCTGTGCTCAAATCTTCCTTCTGCCCCCACCAGCTGTGAGGCCGCAGGCAGCCACTGAATTCTGGCCCCTTAGTTTCGTAGCCTGTATAATGGGTTTACTTACTTCAGAGGCTTCTTGGGAGGTGAAAGGAATGAATGCCTGCAAAGTGCTTAAACTGTGCTAAGATGTTCCTAACAGTCAACTAATAGTGAGTATTCCTTAGGATTACTATTTTGTCCTGGTCTTTTCTCATTTATATTTTTCACTTTCCTCGGGTATTTATCTCTATAAGTCATTCGAAAGCCCTTTCAGAGCAAAGTGTAGTATGAATAGACACCTAAGCCAGATACCATGCTGGACGGTAAATGGGATAAAGTGTTCAGAAGATGAGGTCCCTGCTGGAGAGAGGGTTATGATTTCTCACTCACATTCCCGCCCTCTTCCCGACACATCATTTACCTTTTCCAATTAAGCACTAAGTGGCAAATCCCTTATATATTGAGTACCAACTTCGTGAGTCAAATCCCCTGCTTCATGGACCCTTAACCGAAGGTCCCTGAGCTTCCCCAATGTATTTGCCATGCTTCTTGTTTCTGCGTGTATGTAGGTTTTTTTCTGGGGAGAGGGTCATCAACTACTTCCGTTCAATTCTGAAAGGGCTTCATGGCCCTCTAAAACCCAAAGCCCTACTCACACCTCTGCTCCGAGGTTCCCTGGCATGGCCCCGCCTCTTTCAGAGGGATGGGCTGGTGCCGATAAGCTGGGGGACCTTGGGCAGGTTGTGTACCCTCCCTGGCCTTAGCTTTCTCACCTCCGAAAGAGGGGGCTGGACTTGAAGATCGCCAACACACTCCCCGTCTCTAATGCCAGGATGGGGTACTGCTTCTTACCTCAAGGTCCCGGAGGACAGGGTGGTCTTCAATTCCTGGGAACAGCACCCGCATGGTATAGGTTCTGTAGTCCAGGAAGGGAATCCCGGCTCCATCCAGGTCACTGGTCAGCTCATGGATGTCCGTCTGCAGCTCGGCAAAGGCTGGCATGAAGAGAAGCCTGTGAGATGGCTGGATGGGGAGGCCCCAGGAGTCACCTCCATTTCAGAATGCTGAGAACCCAAGCCCCTAGGAGACATGAGCAGTGGGCCGTGATGGGCAGGAATAACTGGAGAGGCTATGTTTACACAGCAGGGATTGGGATGAATGGCATTAGCATGGGAGGAAGATGTAGTGCAAGAAACCTTGTCTTGGGGCTAAAACCTTTCCAAGGTGTGGGTGGTGGGGGGTGGTGGGCGAGGCTGTCCACAGGTCTGTGCTGCTGCTAGGCTAGGACAGACTCTCCGTATGAAGATGAAGGGCTTTGGTTTCCAAAATATGCTGGGGAGGGGGATGTAGAGGGGATAGGTAAGAGAAGGAGGAGAGGCCATGAGGAAGAGTCCATTCCTGATGCTGTGTTTGGTAATAAATTTCCTTATAAGATGTTAAGAACAACTCCTGAAAAAGAAAAACAAGTTTAAAGATGCAGGTCTGGACCATACAGCTCATCAGAGCCATCAAACCTCCAAATGGGGCAGAGACGGAGGCTCAGACACACTAATAGAGTCCTTCTGTATAAATAGGCAGGGTATTTCTTTGTCCTTCCTTCCTCAAGGTGATGCTACTTGATGGTGAATTATGACCTGCATGTGGGTGTTGCTGTATGTGGTGGCAGCTTGGGTCTCCAGATGAACAGAGTGGTAAGACCTCTTAGGCAAGTCCAGCATGCAGTGCGGCCTGGAGTTGTTACATAGCTCCAAACCTATCACCCTGTTCTGTCCTGGGCACATCCTCCCCCAGGGCCACCCTCTGCCACGGGGCTACTCAGGGATGAGGCGCCAAGCCCTTCCCTGCTCCACCTTTCTCTTTGCTGTGTGCACACCCATGTATGTGTGCATGTGTGCACACGGACTACCAGGACAGATTAACACATGCTGGCAAAGAAGAACAGCCAGTGGGCACTGACTACTAAAATATATTTTTCTATTTACATAATCCCAAACATAGGGGGGAAATATTTTGTGAACTCAGAAGGGACGAACGAGCTCAATGTGGCTCTAGAGCCTCAAAAAGCAAGCCCAGCGCCCAGTGAGCTGTGATGACCACAGGAACACAACACAGGAACCCTAGGAACTGTCGACAGGGACCCCAGTCCTGCTCTTCCTCATGTGTTGGGTGGAGTTCCACCCTGCAAAACAGACTTCAGGCCCTCAGATTTAGCCTTTCTGTGCCCGGAGAATACCAAGACTGCTCGTTTCAGAGAGCCAAAGGGATGTCACCTGGAGAGGCCTCTGCAGCCTCTCCTGCTGCTCGTCTCTCCCTGCAGCCCTGCACATCTGCGCTGGCCACACAGACACACGGGTTCCTGTTATGTAGACTGACATCAATAGTAGCGAACCCAACTGCATCCAAGTGGAGCCTGCACCAGTGTGTGTGTGTTTTTGGCATGTGCTGTCACCAAAAGCCCTGGGGAACACTCATCATGTATGTCCTGAGTAAGGAAACACAAGTGCGCATGCTTATAGAAGAGTGGGAATATGTGCATGAGCATGGGTGTGGGTGCATGAGCACTATTCTGAGTGTGTGAGCATGTCAGGGAGTGTGTGTGAGTGTGTATGACCAGGTGTGAGCATGTCAGGGAGTGTGAGTGTGTATGACCGTGTGTGAGCATGTCAGGGCGTGTGTGTGTGTATGAGCATGTCAGGGAGTGTGTGTGAGCATGTCAGGGAGTGTGTGAGAGTGTGTGAGTATGACCGTGTGTGAGCATGTCAGGGAGTGTGTGTATCCCCGTGTATGAGCATGTCAGGGAGTGTGTATGACCGTGTGTGAGCATGTCAGGGAGTGTGTGTGTGTATGACAGTGTGGGAGCATGTCAGGGAGTGTGTGTATGACTGTGTGTGAGCATGTCAGGGAATGTGTGTGTGTATGACAGTGTGTGAGCATGTCAGGGAGTGTGTCTATGCCTGTGTATGAGCATGTCAGGGAGTGTGTGAGCATGTCAGGGAGTGTGTGAGCATGTCAGGGAGTGTGTGTATGACCATGTGTGAGCATGTCAGGGAATATGTGTGTGTCTATGCCTGTGTATGGGCATGTCAGGGAGTGTGTGAGTATGACTGTGTGTGAGCATGTCAGGGAGTGTGTCTATGCCCATGTACGAGCATGTATGAATGTGTGTGAGTGTGTCAGGGAGTGTGTGTATGACCATGTGTGAGCATGTGAGGCAGTGTGTGTATGACTGTGTGTGATCATGTCAGAAAGTGTATGACAGTGTGTGAGCATGAGTGTGTGTGTATATACGACTGTGTGTGAGCATGTGTGCATGAGTGTACGTCAGTAAATGTGTAGACGTGTGAGTGTGCATGTCAGTGAGTGTGTATGCATGTGTGAATGTGAGTGCGTGGGGCTGTGAATGAATGTATGTCAATTAGTGTGTATGTGTATGAATGTGAGTGCCTGCGTGTGGGTCTGTGTATGTATATGTGAGTGCAGGAGTGCATGTGTGTGTATGCATGTCAGTGTGAGTGCATGTGTGTGTGTTGGTGTGTATGCAAGTATGAATGTGAGTGCATGAGTGTGAATGTATGTCAGTGTGTATGCATGTGTGAGTGCATGAGTCTGTGTGATGCACATGTGAATATGAGTGCGTGGGCATGTCAGTGTGTGCATGTGGGTTGAGTGCATGAGTGTATGGTGTTCACACACATGTGCATGTGAGCGCATGTGTGTGTATGCATGAGTGTAAGTGTATTTGTAAGTGTATGTGTGTGAATGTGAGCATGGGTATGTGAGTGCCTGAGTGTATGTCAGTGAGTATGTGAATGCATGAGTGTGTGAGCATGTCAGTGTGTGTGGGCATGTATGTGTGAGTGCACGAGTGAGTGTATTGAGTGTGCATGCATGTGTGCCTGTGAGTATATGTGTGAGTGTGAGTTCATGAGTATATATCAGTGACCGTGTTGTATGAGAGTGTGTGAGTGTGAGCATGTCAGTGAGTGTATGTGGGGATTTGTGGTAATGTGTGTAAACATACGGGTATGTTTATATATATCAAAAGCTCAGGCCCAAGAAAGGCCCAGCTGGGTGTCTTCTGAGTTTGTGTGAAGCATGTCCTGGCTGGCTGGGAAGCCTTCAAGGAGACCTTTTGGCTTGGCCCAGTGCAGCTGGCTCTGGGCACCCTGCAAAGTGCTTCTGTGGCTAGTCTGACAAGTCCTTTGCTGTAAGACCCCCTCTTCCTACATGCACAGCATAGCTTGCCCCTAAAGTCTGAAGCCAAGGCTCCCTCCTGGGGCCTCAGCTGATAATCTTGGGCGGAAGCACCCCTTGGCTGCCCCCTCCCAGCTGGGGTGCTTGGCCCACAGGGAGGAGAAGGAGGGGGTTGGCTTTTTATCGTCTGCAGCTTTCCTTTAAGTCACCAAGCACCTCCAACATTTAAAGCTGCGTGCCTGCCACACATAAAAGAGATTCTAATCACTACACCTAATTAGAGGAAAGAGTACATTGCGGAGAAAAAAATTAAGCAGCATAAATATAATAAAAGGCAGTAATTAACAGTCCCACAAGGCGGATGCTGTGTTGACAGCTGAAGGATGTAGAGAGGGATGGAATGGATCCACTTCCCCATCAAAAAGAGCTGTGGCTACCCTGGTGGGAATCGGTGTGATGTGAGAGCTCCAGGTATGGGGCCGGATTTACTCCATGTATAAATCTACAGCAAAGAACCGGCTCAGATCCTCCCAGGGTGAGTCACAAAATGATATCCTGGGGGTTACAAGAGTCTGACTCCTAAATTTCCTTCTTGGATTTTGTGTAGCTGATTTCACTTTATGGTGGTGTTTGTAATTTTTTTTTAATCGAAGCTGTGAGACACCCTTCCTTCTAAATCACAGATTAGCCCTACAACTTTACCTTCCTACTCAAGGAAGAAAGCTGAAGATTGCTGAAATGTGTCATGTTAAGACACCCCCAGGTCTCCCCTTGACAGTGCTGCAAAACATGCTCAGCCAGGATTCCAGGTCTGGAGGCTACTCTAGTGAGGTGGAGAATGATCCTAATCTGACACCTTCAAGGAGAAGGTGAGGCGGCCTTGGTCTCTCTGGTGTTGCCAGGGTGGGGCCTGCCTGGGTATGGGTGTGGTCTGGGACATAGGCATAGGGACTATAGAGTGAGAGGCTTTACGGGTAGGATGCACAGCCTCCAGCCCCGCTCACAGCTGCCCGGCCTGCTTGCTTAGAAACGAAACAGCTACACATACATATACACACATACACACATACACACACACACACACACACAGCCTCCAGTACTGCCTACAGCTGCCTGGCCTGCTTGCTTGTATATGAAACAAACACACACAGATACATAGATGAACACACACACACGCGCACACGCACACACACAGCCTCCCGCAATGCCTGGCCTGCTTGCTTATAAATGAAACACATACACATACATATACACACATAAACACACACACACACACACACACACACACACACACAGCCTCCAGTACTGCCTACAGCTGCCTGGCCTGCTTGCTTGTATATGAAACATAAATACGCACATACACAGATATGTACGAAACATATATACACACACGCATGCACACAGAAACACATAGCCTCCAGCACTGACCACTGCTGTCTGGCCTGCTTGCTTGTGTAAGAAACAAATACACACACATACATAGATGAACGTGCACACACACACGCACACACACACGCACTCACACACACAGACACACACAGCCCCCAGCAATGACCGCTGCTGCCTGACCTGCTTGCTTGTATGTGAAACATATATACACACACAATGTGCACACACACATACACACACGCATACACACACACACACACACCTCCAGCACTGCCCACTGCTGCCCAGTCTGCTTGCTTGTATATGAAACATATACCTACATATGCACAGATGCACACGTGCACACACACACCCACATGTGCGCACACACACATGGCCTCCAGCACAGGGCCTCTCAGTACCTTCCTTGCACTCCAGGGCCACGCGGGATTCCAGGTTGTCCATCTGCATCTGCAACCGCTTCAGGGTGAGGTCACTTTCGCGGGACTTGCGTTTATAGGCGATGAGCACAGCCACGATGAAGATGATGAGGAGGCCGCCGGCCACCGCGATGCTGACGATGGCAGGCAGGCTGAGCGGGCTGTCAGGCGCGATATACACCATTCCCGGGGAGTATTCCATGCCACCAACACGGGCCTGGGGCACATAGGGCAAGAGGGAGCTGGGTGTGAGGACACAGAAGCTTTGGCAACAGTCCCAAGTCACCCATGAATTGGTGACCAGGGCAGGATGAGGGAAAGGAGAGACCAATCACTGGTGTTGAAATAGACAAGAGTGCATGAGGGGCTGGAAGTGGACAGGCACAGCTCAACAGAGCTCACCGCTACCTGGAAAAACCCCACTTCCTCTTATTCAGGAGCGAGTTTTGTCATCTTCATAAGGAAACAGCACACAACTGGGACCTAAACACAGTCTGCCACCAATGACTGGTTCCCCTAAGATTTATATACCCATTGTAAGGGTGAGGACAGCTGAGGCACAGAACATGATATTCAGATATCACGGACTTCCTGGGCCAGCAAGGGCTTATTCTTGAAGGCTTTCTTGGTTGTGGCAGGTGATTTAGCAACTGCTTAATGCTGTTTTGCATTTTCCTTATTGCTGCACCAGCCAGCATGGAAAGAATGGCAATACAGAAGGGAGAAGCTCAAAAGTGGACATGAAGAAGGAACTTGGGGTGCGGGGTAGCTAAAGGGAAGCTCTTGGTGGGCCAGAATCCCCTCCTGGAAATCACTGGTGGCTGAGATGGAGCTGGACCGCTCACATCCGTACCCCTCCTGCCCGCTCCAACCAGGATGGGGTTCTGCCAGGCTCACCATCACTTTGTGCCTGCCAATGAGGTTGGGGGACTCGCAGAGCAGCTGCACATCCGACACGGTCACGGTGCACGGCTTCTCCCCAACCAGCACGGTGTAGTTCAGCTTCACATTGCCCCCAGCCACGGGCGGGATCAGGTTCTTGCCCTGGACAGATGGGAAAGCCTCAGTTCCCACCCCAGAGAGAGGACCACAGCTACCAGCTGGCTCTCACGTCCTCCCACCTGGAGATCCCATCCTGCTGGTGAGCTGGTGAAGAAGCCACCTTTGGCAATAAGTACAAAAAAAAAAAAATTTGTGGTACGTATACTACCATTAACTCTTCCTCCAAGTGGGTAATCAATAATCAAAGCACTCCTTTCAGCTTATCCCAAATGCAGCCTAAGAACCCTTCTCAATGCAGTGTTGGAGTCAGTCACTACCAATGGATTCGAATTGTCATGAGTTTTAGTTAACTGTGACCCATGTTCCAAAGGAAGCCTGTGCTGTGGTTTGCACAAGGTTGCCTCAGAGGAAGCAGTGAGCCCCTGACCTTCCAGCACCTGGACTGTCAGAACAATAAAAGCCTGAGAGTCAAAGAGCCTCTTTGACTGGATCTGCCTGCCCTGGATAGAACCAGCCTGTAAAGAGAGTTTTCTTCCCAGTACAAACTCAGAACATGCATCACTCTCTGGGCTACACTGCAACCTCTGCAAGAGATGCCGGTTGATTAAAGTGGCAGGAGCCAGTGATTTGAATACCCCCTTCCATGCACCAGCCCCTCCCCCCACCTGCCACCCACCACCCTCACTCCACCTTTAGGATGATGGGTGTGCCAGGCTTGAGCTCCAGGATTCCTGAGGGTCCAAAGGCCTCAAACACTGGGTTGGGATAGTAGGTGAAGTTGGTCTTGTTGAGGATGAGCAGGGACTGGACGTTGTCCAGGATGAAGCCAAACTCCTCGGGCCTCTCAGTCAGGTCTGACTGGTGGTCAGGACCCAGAGCAAGGGCTGGCGCCTGGCAGGTCATCTCAGTCGCGTTCAGAACCTCACAGATCTGTGGGAGGAGCCACAAGGCGGAGTCTATGCAGTATCTCCACATACCCACAACCCCGGTGCGTGTACCGGGCCTCCCTGGATGCCAGCGGGATAGTATGGGGTTGACAAGAGGATTAGGGATGGGTCGGGACCACACAAGTGGGCTCTCAAGGAATAAGCTCTATAGCTTGCATTCAGCTCCAATTTTGTGGGTGTGGCAATGGCTAGGGTCAGAAGAGTGGAAGAATAAAGGTATAAAACCCCAGGTACCACAAAAGTAATCGCTCCTGCATGCCTATACCCCAAGAAGTAAAACTGCCCTTATGTCTGCTCCCCCATCCCACTATCCTAGTACTCAAGGGTGTCGCAGGCTGTGGATCATCAGTGCATGGGCAGGGAGTCACCTGAGTACTTGGGAAGCCCCACACCCTTTGGGGAAGCAACGTGTCACATGGGCAGCCTTCATGAGCCCTGCCAGCCTTGCACTTACGTTGATGTGCTCCTTCCCTCCATGCTTGGCACGGATCTGGGGGTTCTGTATGAGGTCCAGGTGAGTCCCCCATACGGCGATGGGTGTGTTTCCACTGAGCAGGAAGAAAGAAGGAGGCGTATAAATCGTTAAGTTCAAGAAGAGCAATGGCATTCCACAATGATGACTGACTTAGCTATATGACAATAAAGACAGTGATAACCAGGCAGCAGGGTAATGTTCACGGGGACAAGGATGACAAGCTGACTGCATAGTAATGAGGACGGCCTCTCAGCAGTCAAGGGGAGGACAGTGATCAGATGTCTGTGGCCATCCTTTGCTGAGTTCATTCAGAGCATGGACCCCCCATGGAGGCCCAGTCGGCAGCACAACCCCCTTGGCTCTCCAAGACCTCATCTGCACCAGCTGCTTCTCTGCAATCCCTTGGTGCCCCTTCCTCCATCCTTCCCCTGGTCCTTGCCAGTCTTGGGACTTTTTAAACATTAGCTTTGGCCTCATGAAAGCCTGGCTCCAGATTGTCCCCACCACACCCTCCGGGGGCTGAGCACAGTCTGTTTCCTCCAGGCAATCATTCTTCAAGTTACCATCTTGGAGGCTTCAGTCAGGCTGAGATCTGGGAAAGGTAGAGGACCCAGGAATGCAAATGTGAATGCAAATGCGAAATGCTCTGGGAATCAGGTATCCTGTACCCTGGGGTGGCACAGGACCGCTGACAGGGAGGGCTTAGGAGCTTCACCTTGTGTAGACTTTCAAAAGATACCTGGATACCATTGCCCATCCTTAGGGCAGCTGAGAAGTGGGCATAAAGGGGTGGGCAGTACTGTAGTGGACTGTGTCCTCCAGGGGGGCTACTCAAAGAAAAATGAGAAATAGCCTGATCCCCAATCAGAGGAGCATCTTTGAGAAGAATCCTGCTAACTCAAACAGACTTTAGCAAGTTAATTAGCTATAAGTTGATGAGTAAAGAATCCTTGACACACACACCCACATTCATTTCCACCCATCCATGCATCTGCCTGTCTTTACATTGCCAGTTGCTTCCCCCTCTCCTTGCTCACATGCGCTTGCGCACACACACACACACATACACACATACACACACACATTCACGCACACACAGAGGAAGATTCCTGTGAAACTCAGAGAGGCTCTTGCACACATGACAGTGCTGGAGATGATCTTCTGGGCTCTAGTCATCTTCCCAGTCCTCTCCATCATCAATTCAACACACATTTATCAAATGCTCACCATCGCTGTTCATGAGTAACCGAGGCTGCTTATAAGAGCAGAGCCTTACCCCCATCCTCAGGCTTTGTCAACTTAAACAAAAGCCCTGGAGCTGGCTGGCAGACTCAGACCATGTCTGTCTCCAACTTCCCTCCTAGTGGGAGCATAATGCAGGAACAGCACCTGAGTGCCAGGAAGGGTGACAACTCTACTTCCATGAGGATGGCACAGAGAAGAACTGAATGACACCAGGCTGTGAATTTCGCAGAAAGTTGCAAAGTTTGTTGACTAAGACACAAAGGGCTGCATCAACTTTCTGGGGACAAATCCCAGCATGGCTTTCTACAGGTGATTTTCTCCTCTCTGTGCCTTCTGGTCTTCATCTGCTTTAAGTTCATGGCTAAAGCTTAGAAGGTTTGAGCCTTGTAGAGTAACTGCTGAGGACGGCCAAATCTCATCTCAGCAGGCAAAGGCTGTCTTTCTTTCGGGTTTAAGGCAGGGGGTGGCAAACTCTTTCTGTAAAGGGCCAGATAGTAAATATTGTAGGCTTTACAGACCATATGGTCCCTGTCGCAGTTACTCAACTCTGCTGTTATAGTGAGAAAGCAGCTATAGACAATACATGTACGAATGAGCATGGCTGTGCGCCAATAAAACTTTATTTACAAAAGCAGGTGGCTAGCCAGATTCAGCCTACAGACTGGAGTTTGCTGATCCCTGGATTAAAAAAAGATTGTTCCCTGGACTGGACACACCCCTGCTCCCTCCCTCAGCCGGGGAAGCCTGCTTCTGCGTGTACTTCCTGCTCACTCCCCCAGACCCCTGAGAACTGAAGCAGGCAGTGAGAGGCCTGGACCCAGCAGGGGGCAGGGGGAGAGGCCGAGCCAGGCACTGCACTGTACATGTGCATCTCACTTTAGTCTCTCAGCTGCCTAGAGGGAGTGGACAGATGAGGGACTCTGGCCCCAGGGAGGCGAGATCACTGTTAATGTCACTGGGCTGGTGAGCCGTGGAGCTGGGCTGAGATCCTTCCCACACTGCCCTGACACAGTGATTTCCCAGTGACCTCTGTGAGCCTTGTTGTGGGGTCCCCTCTGTAGCATCGTCTCATTTCCATGTGCCATCCAGGGCCTGGAAAGGCAGACTCACGCCGTGTGCCTGCCCCTTCTCCCCTGATGGGAGACTTACCACCCCAGGGACCCTAGAGATACTAGGATTTCAAAATCCATGGGTGAATCACTGAATAGGCAGAGGCCCAGAAAGAGTACAAATTTTCCCAAGGTAAATGAACGTCCCCAAGTGCCTGCCCCAGGGCCTTTCTATACCAATATCCAATGCCTGGTCCCCTCCCTCAGGGACAGCTGTTCAGTGCATCTGGCTGGGCACTGAGAAACAGCAGGGAACAAGACCTCAACTCTACCCTTGAGGAGTTTACAGCAAAAGGGAGGAGAAATGTAAGCAGGCAGCCAGGAGCAGAGAGGTTGGGTGTCCAGATGGGGCCTTCAAGCTCAGGACACAGCTTCCCCCAATAGCAGACCAAGGAGTAGTCAGGCCTGATCTAACTCCTTCTCCCACAACCCTCAGCCTGAAGGTGGGACCAGAATTAGCACCTATGTTTATCAGAAGTGAGAAAAGTAGTCTGGCACCCCCAATGGTCACTGCAGCATGGGGACATGGCCTCTAGCACAGTGCCTGTCTTTAAACTAGAAAAGGTGGGCTCTTGCTATTCAGAGCTTGGCCTTCAGGCTGGGCTTGGCACAGAGGTGCTCTCAGTGGAAGGAGGGAACCATAGTAGTAGGAAGGTCTGATTTGGGGGTGTGTTTGGAACCAGTCCCAGCTCATCAGCCACCCAAGCAGGACTGGGCCCCCTGAAGTCTCCTTGGCTTTTGAGAGTCAGGGAAGGGAAACAGAGGTGCAGAAGCGTTAAGCTCTGCTTGGGCCAGCTCCTACCTAACAATGCTCCATTCTGGCTCAATCCTCAGGATGGTAGGGTCTTCCACGTACTGGAAAACGAGGTCCTGGTGGATCTTGGCCCTGTCCACCTGCACCGACACCTTCATCTCCAGCACCTCATCTGAGGACGTGGTGTTGCAGACAATGTAGGATGGAGATCGCCTGGAGGGCGGGAAGACAGAGCACTGGGCGCGTGGTGTTGAGGAGTACAGAGGTCCTGAGTCAGGGCCCTCCCACACCCCTCCCTGCATGTCAGGGTGCTCAGAGGCCATGGGTGGGTGCTCTCAGAGAGAAAGCTGGAGAGCCAGTGTCAAAGACTCTCTCCTTGGTCATACTTTAGACAGGTTCCTCTGAGCCCTCTTTTCAATCACGCCTCGTCTAGCCTGTCTAGCCCCGTCTTTAGCATGAATCCGGATAAATCTATTTGGGGAGAATCCTCCCGCACCTGATATCTGATCACCCTGGCCTGCCTTCAGCAAGAATCAAGTTAAGTTGGTTTAGCACGAACCTGCCTACTTTGATGTCACCTCTTAGTGATTTTCCATTCACTGAGCCCCTTATTCTGCTTGTTGGCTATAAACCCCCTGCTGTCTTTGCAGTATTTGGAGTTGAGCCCCATCTGTTTCCCCTGTTGCAGTAGTCTTGACACCAATTGCAATCCCGAGTCCCGAGAAAAGTCTTCCCTACCATTGTAACAAGTGTGAGAATAATTGTTTCCTTAACACTACCAATGCCAGGTCAGGCCGGGTCTGACTTGGGAATTGACATAGCCCTCAGCACAGCTCTCTCAGGAAGGAAACCTCTAGGGAACTTGAGGCCAGCTGAGGGAGCATCTCTAGCCGCATCACCTAGAGTCCTTCACTGGACTAGAGTCCTCCTGCCTTGCTCCTACCCC